GCTTGTATCCACAATAGAGACGAAACATAATGGAGAAATATGGCATTTTAAGTGTCCTCCTCTCGGTCATGAGTAAGTATACGTCTTTTAAAAAAAAAATACAATATTCCTTTTCTATTTGTTTTCTCTGTGATGACTATTTGAAAGTTAGTTGAGTTGATTTCCTGATAATTTTACCGGAAAGGAAATTTCGCTAAGCGAAAGGCCAGGTGCTGAGGAGGCCCTATATATATGCATGTACGAGGGTTGTCCGGTAAAATCGTTGACGAAGCATTTTTCTCGAAAAATAATGAGCGCAGAAAGCTGAAATTTTCAGCAAATATTTATTTATCATATTTAAGTATAGCTGCAGAACTGTAGCGTAATGGTTTTACATATTGTATTTAGTTGTGGTCAAAGACTAATATATAAAACCATAACACTACAGTTCTGCAGCTAATTTAAGCGCATCTTAACGCTTTTGATAAAGTATAGACAAAAACAAAGATTTTATTATTCTTGAATAAAAGATAAACAAGGTACGGTCCTAGGGCGCAAGATAAAAAACAACAACAACAACAACAACAAAAACAAAACAAAACAGGTTTCATTAAAAATGCACAAGTATTATTTCTAAATAAAAGTACTAAATGGATAAAATTTAAATAAAAATGATCCTATTTTAAATCAACTATCTATTTTGTCGTGTTTTGGAAAATTTCTAGGCATTGGCTTAATTTTTGGTAGTTTTCCAAGAATTCGAAATGAGAATGAAGTAAGCACAACACACGAAAAATGGCGACAGTTCGATTTGGATGTTGTAATGAAGCCTTAAGAGACATTTTAAATACATTTATAGTCGAACTATATACATACAACAAGGAAGAAGGATATGAAGATAACGAACAGTATTTAATCTTAAAGTCTATAAAACAATACAAAATAGAAGCAGAGCAAACAAGGACCTCCGAAACATCAGAGGTGGGATCAGGTGCCATGGAGGAGTGAGCATCCCCTGCTGACCGGTCACACCCGCCGTGTGCTCCTTGTCATGATCGGGAAAAAACGGAAAAATCCGTCGTCAATTCAGTGTATAAATAATGGACTAACAATTAGTATGAAAAACGTCAGTCAGCATGTGACTGAATGATAAATTGTATTTACTGACAAGGTCATTGTATCGACCATAGAACTTACGAAATGATGACTTTAAGCTCTTTTGCCAACTATTCTACCACGATTATTGGCGAGATCAAAGAGATGTTGCGGACATGATTCCCCAATAAATCACGAACGTCGTCAAAAAATTATCAGATCAGAAACACGTATCACGATGAAATTTTACTGTTATAAGAGATTTTTCTAGTTTCTAAAATTAAGCTAAAACATTAGCTTAATTTTAGAAACTAGAAAAATCTCTTATAACAGTAAAATTTCATCGTGATAACCTGTCCTCTACAAAAATTTGAATTTTTCAATTAAAATTTGTATATGACAATTCTCCCATTGCCACAAAAAGTTTGTTCTCAAACTTAAAAAAAAATCACACGTGTATAACAGTACAAAATTAAACATATAGTTAAGTCAAAAACATTCAAAATTTAGTGTTCAGAATTTCTTTGTATATTTCAGAATTTTTAAACTGTCTATACTCCTCTCAGGCAAGTTTACTGTTTTTAGCATCTCGGTTACACACGCACTTCTGTTTGATGGAACGAAGTACGATATTTTCCATTTCATAATTTTCTAGAAGCCAGTTGAAATGGGAAACACGTCCAGAAAGTTTCTTTAGGTCCGACACGGCATAGTTTAAGTATTTTGTATACAGTTTTATCTGTTGGTCTTTTTCATCGATGGCCTTTGACTTCTCCTGTAATTTCCATTCCAGAAGTTCGATGTCCATTTTCATTAATGCTTTAGAATACTTGAGATCTTGTATCACGCACTAAACTTCTGTTGTGAACACTGATTTTAAATTAACACACTCTTTAAATTTTGAATCACTTAAACTTGCAAACGGAAGTACCCGGACCAAACTTTTCCTGCTGATGTAGTCTTGCAATCGTTCGGTATCTCTTTTCCTCTTTGCATCTGATTTTACAGCGCGGGATGAAGGTTCTCCGCACACTCTGCTGAAATGTCCCTCTTTTCCACATCTATGGCAGCGTTTCTCCAAGGCGTTGCAGACGGAGTAATGCCGTCTGTTACATCTGCTGCAAAGCGGCGTTGAAACCTGCCATTGTGGTCGGAACTGCATGCCAGTCCAGTGTTAAAGCTGGTTCTACTCGGAAACTTCGAAATTTGGGGAATACTCGCTTAGCTTCATGAGAGGTGGTGTTGTACCCGGATATCTCCACAAATTAGCACATTTTTAATGGTAAACCAACCCGATCAACACTCAGGCCGTGCTAGAATAAGACCCCACTAGAAAACGTGAACGGCTTATTGCTCGCTTGAAGAACTCCTTTTTGAGTTCCCTGACGATCCTGCCCGAAGATTCTGTCAGCTTCCCTGACGTTTCTACCCAAGGATTCTGTCAGCCACGATTTGCGTTCCTTTCTAGCTTTGAGTCTTATTAGACAGATTTAAGACAAACTCCGACCGGCGTTTTAACTTTTAATATGGAACTGACAAATTTTGATACAGGTCGGTGTACTCAGGACGGCTGTCCAATTCCGACTGATTATTCAAATCAAAATCAACAGTATATATAACAATTAGAATGTGACATGTGTAAAAATGACATTTGGAGATAAATAGATAAAAAGTCTTGACACTTGAGTAAAACCTTAAAATAATTGAGGGCCAGAAAAATTCAAATTTTTGTAGAGGACACAGTATCAAACCTGTACAGTTAAAATACATAATTGACTCTAAAATGAAATACTTATTAGGCTGCATTTCTTTCCGAAATATTTTGTAATTATCTCCTTTTCATTTCCGACATTTTTTTTTGTTTTCATTTCCGACATTTTTCAGAAAGTACCTTTAGTGATATATTTGGAGACTTTAACTATGAAAAATTTAGATGTGAAGTAGAAAAATTAAAGTTCTGTGTAGAGCAGAATAATGCGTTATCAACCGGAGTAAAAACTCGATTAGAGTACGTCAAGTGTCTTGGACATAACACTGCATATTAAGCTACGTTTGGTGCTGTCACTGATATTTAATCTAGTGTGTTGAAAAAGTTGTATGCTCATTGAATTCTTTTACCCATACTTTGTGCTACATGTATGCATATACGAGGGTCATTCAAAAAGTTCGTAGACTTTTGTCCTAACTTTTTTATTTAACGTCATATTATATCCAAATTTGGTACAAATATTTAAACAACAGATTCAAATAATTTGAGTAAAAAAATTGGAAAGTATCTTCATATTCATTAAAATTACCAAGGATTTAGAACAGCAAAAATGGCGTCACGGAGCACCCTCAAAATTGAGTAATTTTCTCATTTTCACTTTATAGCATTTACAGCTATACCTCTAATAAATGATGCTGAAACGAAATAAAATTTACATGTTTAAATAAAGTATTGCTGTATTAATTAAATTGAAACCAAGGTTATGTAATATCTCGCTCCATTTAAAAGATATCAGCTTCTTAATACATATGGACTTGATTAAAAAAGGCAAAAAACCATGACGTTGGAGGACGTCACAGAGCAGCAAGTAGCAATAAAATTTGACTTTACATTCGGGAAACTTCTTCTACAAGCTTAAAAATTCTTTATAAACCAGGATCTGTATGAAAAATAGTCTGTATATTTACAAGTATTAAATTGAAAATACGATTTTTGAGTGGTAGCGAGTTTGAATCGGACGATGGATTGTATGCAAAGAAACAGGTTAAAGTTAAAAATATTGTCAAAAGAGTTAGGAACGTCATTGAACGTGATGTGTGCTTCAATGTTGCAGAAATAATAGAGTGGCATAGTAAATTAAAGAATTTGAAAACAATAAAATTCTAATTCAAGCTATATTTGTACAATTGTTAGCAAACTAGGTGTTAAGTGTTGTGGAAATGTGTTTTGAATGGAGAAGACGCTACAAACCGTGTTTGAGATTAAAAATAAATTAGTATACTTTTGACAAATTTTCTCAGCGTTGTTTTTGACGTTACAATATTGGTTAACCGTGCTCCGTGGTAACAAAACATGTTGCTTTAAATTTTTGCCAACGTGAGTTCTATTTAATCAAATGGAATGAATCTTCACATTTTGACAAAATAAATGTTTATGTTTACGAAAATATGTTGATCTATAACCTTGTAATAATCATAAGACGATGAGAAGCATTGTCTACGTATTTTTTGAATGACCCTCGTATATATGATAGTTTAATTTATAATTTTTTAATCAATATTTTGCAATAAACACTTTTAAAATTCCATTTTCACTTACATGGAAAAAATTAAATTGCCGCACAGGTAAATTGCGGAAATGAAAACAAAATTATGTCGGAAATGAAAGAAAAAAAAAATGTCGGAAATGAAAGAAAAAAATGTCGGAAATGCTATGCAGATTTCTGGAAATGAAATGCAGCGACTTATTTAGACTCATCGATGTGTCGTCTTTCAGAGTCAAAACACTGTGTAAAGTACCTGATGAAAGTATATATTTTTATAGCTAGGCGGGGCTGTTCCACGGACCCCCTACACCATTTTAACTTCGTGATTTTAGTGATAAATCAATAAAATAGAAAACTGATTTGTTATTGTCCATTTATAAAAATAATTAATTTATGGTAAATCAAATTTATACTAAATAAGGCTATTTTTAATGCAGCGAAAGTTTAAATCGTCTGCCTTCCATACGAGGTAAACAAACAAATTAACACTTTGGTGTTAAAAGGAACAGCGTCATTGAGACATGGTGACATAATTCGTTTCTCTATAGAGGAAACGATCAGCCGTATTTTATGGTTCTTAGTAGTGTTACGACTTACGGCTTTATATGTTTAGCGGCGTAACATTGTGGGGCTCCTTAATCTGAATGTTGAACGAAAGACAACAGGATATAATTTGTTTTTAATATTTTATTAGATTTTATTCAATAAACATACAAAAATACTCTTCTTTGGCTCTGCGGTCCTCACCTGAAATAAAAACAAACCAACCACCCTTTCCAACAAATGTTAATTTATAAAACCACCCTTAAACAAACCCCTTAATAAACATGAATAGACCTTGTATCTTTAGGTCTTGAATAAAGATTGAACTAGTGATTTCTTCACTTAGTGAGTATAAATACAAAATGTCAGGTTATAGCAAACAACTAATTGTATAGGGACAGAAAGTTATGCTAATATCTCAATACAATGCGTGTAGCATTTGTTAACATTCAAAGGATGTAGCAAACAACTAATTGTATAGGGACAAAAAGTTATGCAAACATCTCAACAAAACTCAATACAATGCACCATGCATTTGTTAGTTTGTTGTTAGTAATAATGTCAGGAGTTATAAATATCAAGTTCAGGTCACTTCTCGTGCCTTAGTAAATACTACTCAACAGTAAACAATAACGATGAATTCAGATCACTACTTGTGTCTGAGTAAAATGAATGAATAACGCAATCAAACGTTGCTAACAAATTCAGGTTAATAATTACCCATCATGTCAATTTGTCTCTCTGTCTAAAACAGAACCCTTTGTGATGGGGAGACTGCCTTGTTCGGAGTTGGTCCGTCAGGTAGACCTTTTCGTGGGTGAGACCGCAGGCGTCTGACCGTTAGACGCTGGGAGCTCGTATATAAAGCCTTTACACCCGTTATGACGTCATTCACTCGATCAATGCATGAGATTTTGGCGCCATAACGTCAAATAGCTGGAAAACTTCGGATGCACTTAACTATTATACTCATCAGAGGTGTTCCGAATGTAGTTTACATCTTTTACCGCTTAGTATGAAAAGCAGAGTGTAATTGTAAGGTTTTACACTAATTATCAGTGAATGGATTTATTATTTATACAAATTATCAAAGGTTAGCACATTTAGTACTATATAAAAGCATTTGTAGACCAGTAAATGGTTTATTTACATTCCGTATTCCTCAAAACGTGGAGGAAATTCGGTACATGGTGAACAATTTGCACCCAGATCGTAATAAATTCCAAATAACATTAATCAATAATAACAGATAAATAAGAATAAATGTCAATACATATCATTCATTCAATCATTCATCTAATCATCATTTTAACGGCTCATATCACAAGAAACATCTTGTTTATTCTTATTCATAACAATAGTGGAGAATGCCAAATTCGTAACACGGCCCCCTTCTCTATTTAACATTCGTCCTCGAATGTCTATAAACATATACCATGTTACAATCTAAATTTATGTTCAATCAACAAAAACCTCAATATCTCGATCGACTAATTATCTTGAAATGCAGTCTTCGGGATATCCAAGTTAAACTGTAAGTTCACTTTATCATAAGCAAACTTTAAATTGCATTAACAAAATCAAATGTGTAAAATCACATAACATTCAATTTACAACATTCACATTTTAACAAACACGACGCACTTGTCGTATTTCTAAAACGAAAGTAGATTTCGTGACATGTATTCGTACGACTTATCAAAAGGTGTGACGTCTAATCCTCATGCTGAGAAAAGAATCGCCACTGAATTTTCACAAAGTTCGTCCAAAATACTTGCAAAAACTGGATGAAATGCAACCATGAGTAAGTAAATTTTGAATACTCGTTATGCATTACTTTGGATCTGACTGTAAGCAGGTCTATTTATGCGTTGTTTTGCAGCATTTGTGCGAGACAACAACTGCACATTTCAAATTGACAACAGTCAAAATTCTGTGAAGTATAAATACGTCAAAATAATTCAATCTGTTTCATTGCTGATCCATATTTTTTTAGGATTCCCATTATCTGAGGTACTCTCAACAACATGACATGTACGAAGAGAAAAATCAAAGGTAAGTAAAGGTAAGTTGTACAATGATATCAATCAATCATTGTGATAAAATTCATAATATGACCGCTTTTTGCATAGAATGCATAAAGTAAGTGCATGAATATAATTAGATAATATAGATCAAATATTTAAAGATCATCGACAGTATAAAAACTCAACATAAATAATCTCTTCTCATTTTCGCAAGAATATTCAAGAAAACAAAATTTCATGTGAAAGATCAGCAAATGTCAAATATTCATATTATCTAGCTACTTCAAAACCATGTTGGTTTATTCTCACCAACAGTTTCATTGTTTGTTACATTTTCAGTTTGTTTTGTAGGGATATCAAAAGGGCAGAGCAGATTTACCACAAGATTTGGTTGTAACAGAACAGTTTTCAGGTATTTTTAAGCTCTTAGTGTTGTTGTTAGGATCTTAAGTTAAACTAACAATGTAGTTTACCTCCTTGCCCATAGTCCCTGTCAGATGAATAGGTGAACTTGTTAGAGCACGCTTTAGCTTGTCAAAAGATTTGTGACAGTCTTCACCCCAAACAAATTTATGACTTAGTTCAGTCAGTTTGTGCAAGGGTCTAGCCATATCAGAAACTTTGATTGGGAAACTACTCTGAAATTCTATTAGCAATTCTCTTAATTTTTGCTTTTGTTCTTGATCAATATTTTTACAAGAATTCTCAAACACAGACTTCGAATGTTCAGGAAAATTTTCATTTGTTTTCATTTCATGTTTTGTTAAAACATTTATTGATTGGGGAGTACTTTCAATGATCCCTGAAGTATCTTCTAAATTTGCCACAACAGTCCCTTTGAAAATTTTGACACTCTTATCACCTAAGTTCATGTATCGAACAGGTACTCTATCATTTTCAACTTTTGCCAAATTCTTGGGAACTAATACACCATGTTTATCTAAAGACTTTGCCACAGGCTTTAACAAAGTAACCTTGTCATTAAATAATGGGTTTTCCACTTTAGCCGGGGCAATAAATTCACTGAGAGGGGGAATCTCTATAGTTTCAGTCAAAAATACCTTACAGCATTGCTTATTCAAAGCTTCATGTGTAAAACAAGAAACGTCTATCCCCTTTATTTTAAGTTTCATTTTGTTCAATAGAACATCACAGTTGTGGTCTTTCATGAAATCTAAACCCAAAATACATTCGTTTTGGATATTAGCCACTAAAACATTATGATTCACAGTAACATCTCCCACACATATTTTCACTAGGCATTCCCCTATGACAGCTATTTTCTCCCCAATAACAGAGGTTAGATTTACAAATGAAGGGTTCACATCTAATTTCCCCTTTAACTCTGAACTGTCTGCAAAATCGGAGCTAATAATTGTTACACTAGCTCCTGTGTCGACCATCATTGTAGTCGGAGTGTTCTCAATTTTTCCTACTACAAAAATTCCCTCGCTGCACCCCTTTACATCACCTACTCTCTCATTTCTAGGTGCATTTTCACATTTAACAATTTTCTCAACATCATTTTCTGATTTGTTGTTCTCAATATCATTTTTTGGTTTATTGTTCATCATATTTTCATTCTCAGTTACATTAACTGTATTTTGAGGACTCTTTTTAATATGCTCATTTCTTCCAGCAGGAAGAGGTCCTCTTGTTTCAACTTTGTTTAACAATGAATGGGGCCTACCCCTGCGCTTTGTCGACTTCCGCCCCCTGAATTCGACACGGGAAAGTTTCCCTGATTTGAGGATTGGAAGTGACTATTTTGAGATTGTCTATTTTGGTAAGCATTTCTTCTCTCAAAATTATTTGCATTGTATGGCTGCCTAACTTGAAACCGATTGTTCTGTCGATCATTTTGTGCATTCCTGAACCGAGGATGCACCTCGCTTGAATGAGAAAAGTTAGGTCTTGAATTAAGACCATCTTTAAGGAGTGATCTAATCTCTTTTGTAAGTGATTGGAGATCATCTCTTAAGACCCTATTTTCTTGCTTGATTGAGGCGAGGAGATTGGTATCCATTTCTGGATGTATGGCATTGACAATTTTTACCCTCTGAGCATCAGCCAGTTTGTGGGTTTCAAGTCTTATCGCCAATATCTCAGCCTCATTAATGTCTCTGGGTCTACTTTCTCTCAAGCGAAGGCGCATATCCGGATCGGGAAGTGCATCTATGAAGTGATCTAATGATAGAACATTTGTCAAGTTTGAATCGGCAGTAGGATACGCTTGCCTAGTAAGTTTCTTGATAGATTGTGCAAGTTCAGATAAAGATTCTTTGTCACCCTTGGTTCTTGTCTTTAACTTAGCTCTGAACATTTCAGATCGTTCAACTGAACCATAACGCCTATCAAGAATCTTGACTAGGGAATCATAATCTCTGCGCTGAACTTCATTAAGTTCACTTAAAAGTGCACGAGCCCCTCCCGCTAAACTGCTAGCTAGGTATAGTGACTTTGCCCTATAATTCCAACCATGTAGATCGACCAAGATTTCGAATTGGGCTAGATAATCCCCAAAATCTTCTGACCCATCAAATGTAGGTGGTTTAATAGATACAATAGGTTTGGAATTGAAAGGGGAAGGAACTCTATTTTCATTGTAATTTATCTCCCTTGCAGGGGTATCCATGTGACCAAAACTTTCCCCAGCCCCAATGATAGGAGACTGATCATGAGGACCCAGGGATTCTCTACACCCATGCACTTGATATCTGATTGCATGATCTTTGGGGGTCCCCTTTTGTTTTATCTCATCAACTTGTTCTTGTAATTGACGAGAATCTCGTCTCATGTTTGACAATTGTTCATCTATGTCTTGTCTCATGTTTAAGACTTCTTTGTTCATCATTTCTACAGCTCTTAACAAAAGTTCATTTATGTTTTCAGCCTTGTCAGAGCCTGATTTCTGTACAGGAGATGAGGTACCGGACCGTTGATACTCATCACAAGTGATGTCATCATTCAGATCGCAGGACCTGCACCCATTCTCCTCAGAAGCTTCAAATTGGCTGTTTTTATTTGACATTTTGACTTTTGTTATGGCAACACAAATTTTGTGTTTATATGTCAATGTGCTTGTCGTTGTCAATAGACTTAACAAGACTTAGTCAATATTGTGAGATCCTGATGTAGACTTTCGATCAACCAGAATAAAAGGAAGACTTTATCCCACTTCTGACACCAATTGTTACGACTTACGGCTTTATATGTTTAGCGGCGTAACATTGTGGGGCTCCTTAATCTGAATGTTGAACGAAAGACAACAGGATATAATTTGTTTTTAATATTTTATTAGATTTTATTCAATAAACATACAAAAATACTCTTCTTTGGCTCTGCGGTCCTCACCTGAAATAAAAACAAACCAACCACCCTTTCCAACAAATGTTAATTTATAAAACCACCCTTAAACAAACCCCTTAATAAACATGAATAGACCTTGTATCTTTAGGTCTTGAATAAAGATTGAACTAGTGATTTCTTCACTTAGTGAGTATAAATACAAAATGTCAGGTTATAGCAAACAACTAATTGTATAGGGACAGAAAGTTATGCTAATATCTCAATACAATGCGTGTAGCATTTGTTAACATTCAAAGGATGTAGCAAACAACTAATTGTATAGGGACAAAAAGTTATGCAAACATCTCAACAAAACTCAATACAATGCACCATGCATTTGTTAGTTTGTTGTTAGTAATAATGTCAGGAGTTATAAATATCAAGTTCAGGTCACTTCTCGTGCCTTAGTAAATACTACTCAACAGTAAACAATAACGATGAATTCAGATCACTACTTGTGTCTGAGTAAAATGAATGAATAACGCAATCAAACGTTGCTAACAAATTCAGGTTAATAATTACCCATCATGTCAATTTGTCTCTCTGTCTAAAACAGAACCCTTTGTGATGGGGAGACTGCCTTGTTCGGAGTTGGTCCGTCAGGTAGACCTTTTCGTGGGTGAGACCGCAGGCGTCTGACCGTTAGACGCTGGGAGCTCGTATATAAAGCCTTTACACCCGTTATGACGTCATTCACTCGATCAATGCATGAGATTTTGGCGCCATAACGTCAAATAGCTGGAAAACTTCGGATGCACTTAACTATTATACTCATCAGAGGTGTTCCGAATGTAGTTTACATCTTTTACCGCTTAGTATGAAAAGCAGAGTGTAATTGTAAGGTTTTACACTAATTATCAGTGAATGGATTTATTATTTATACAAATTATCAAAGGTTAGCACATTTAGTACTATATAAAAGCATTTGTAGACCAGTAAATGGTTTATTTACATTCCGTATTCCTCAAAACGTGGAGGAAATTCGGTACATGGTGAACAATTTGCACCCAGATCGTAATAAATTCCAAATAACATTAATCAATAATAACAGATAAATAAGAATAAATGTCAATACATATCATTCATTCAATCATTCATCTAATCATCATTTTAACGGCTCATATCACAAGAAACATCTTGTTTATTCTTATTCATAACAATAGTGGAGAATGCCAAATTCGTAACAGTAGAATAGAAAAAAGTCCTTGTTGTCGTGAATGTTGCAGGATAACCTCTTCGGAAATTTCTCGACCTCGGAGGTTATCCTGCAACATTCGCGAAAACGTAGACTTTATTTCTTAAATAACATAGAAACATAGGAATAAAGGGAAACTAAAGTATGCACATCAATGAAATTCCTAAATTGAAGTAGAAATTATCCATTTTTTAGCAAAGAGGAAACGTGGTCGTACGCTGCTTTAGACACGTTGACGTTATCATCCGTGCGCCATAAGCAAGACGATACAATACATAACACAACTAGAGGTACTGTGAGCAATGAGCTCACTAAATGATACCCCCCCCCCCCCGCCTCCCATATGAATATAATGGCAGTGTCCATGTTTTGCTCTAGAAAATCAAAAATATATGTCAGATCAAAAAGTAAAATAGGAGGTGCACAATGGCAATATGTAATTAAGAATCTGTGAAAGTTTCATTAAATTTCCTTCAGTGGTATGAGAGGAGTTGCGGATAAGAGATGGGTACCCCAAAGCGTAAAGACGGACGGACAGAAATACCTATTAGCCTACTATATACCCTCCCACTTTTCAAGCGGGGGGTATAAAAAATCAAAATTTGTTTATTCATCACATATCTATTTGAAATTTTCAATGTATATTGGTGAAATATGTACTATAGACTAGTGACATTTTTAGAACATGATGATGATTATATTCACTCTAGAGAACTTGTCCACGATCTTACTGGACAAACCCTCGTCGTAAATTTCGTGCGGCTGTCCTTGTGTTTGACGTCAATGGGCGGGGACTATTGAAATTGACATGGAAGGCCTCGTGTAATTATACTCCCGCTTGAAAAGTGGGAGGGTATATAATAATCGGTATGTTCGTCCGTCCGTCTGTTACGCTTTGGGGTACCCATATCTTATCCGCAACTTCTCTCATACCACTGAATGAAATTTGATGAAACTTTCAGAAAATCTTTATTACATTACAAAGTTCAAGGTCGCAAATTCTGTTTGTATGAAACACTATCATTTCCGGGCAATATTTCAGGAAGATTTTGAGCTTTTGCATTTGTAATTTTATGCCAAAACTCCCTAGGACCTCTCTCACCCCTCTCAAAGTGTCCCGCCCGTTTGTTTTACTAGTATTTATTGTATTACACGACGCTATTTTTAGCACAGGGGCATGAGGAGAATTATTACGTATAAAACAGGTTCTAGGTGGACTTTATTTTCTTATTACATCTATTAGAACTGTTTAATAAAGGTTAAATTATACACCATGCATTGTATAAAAATTTGACAATATCGAACGTGATTATATACATGTATGTGACTTCATCTTTGCAATTAATTTTCACCAATTAAAAGCGGTTCCGTGGTGTATAGGTATGTCTCTCACATGAGAGAGGTCCCGGGATCGAATCTCGGAAGATCCATTTTCTTTTCTTTTTTTTTCGAAATACTTTTTTTTTACTAAATGATAGTATTCAGCATGTGAAATTAAAAATTTATTGAGGTCTGGCTTGTACAAACTCATAAAATCATTATTACAGTGTGATAAATATTCCATATAAAAAGTATATTCTTTACATATAATAAAGAATAATCAATCAAATCTTTATATCCATATTGGCATATTTTATTTGCTTCAGTATACTTGTATACATTTAATAATTCTACAAATTCAGTCAGGGGGATCCGACCCCCCCCCCCCCCCCCGAACTGCGCATGGTTTACTTTTACCCTAAGCGGGGGGCACAGATTCTCTGAATTAGCTTGTGAAAGTTTTGTTCTGTGTGCAATCGGAACATTTTGGACAGAGTATAATGCCCTTTGGACTTGAAAAATTCCAATTATTTACAGTTTCCGTTCATTTCTTTGCAGAAGTTGCGTATATTGAAATGAAAATTTGTATACAGATTTGTCAGAAGAATATCTAGATCAAGTTCTGTTTTGAGTACGACTGGACCATTTTGGACAGAGTTATGCCCCTTTTTACTTAGAAAAAATCCAATTATTTGCAGTTTCCGTTCATTATCTTTGCAGAGGTTGTACATATTGAAATGAAATTTAGTGTAGAGATTTTTTCATACAAATATCTAGCTCAAATTCTGTTCTGGGTAAGATCAAGCTATTTTTGACAGAGTTTTGCCCTTTGGACTTAGAAAAATTCCAAATAATTTGGACATAAGTGTTTTACAAACATCTCTTGTTTTGTATTTAACTCGAGTTTAAATTTATATACCAAATATGTTTCAGTTGCATTAATCTATTTGGGAGACCAGGCTCCGTTGAATTGTGAAAGTACTGATGGTAAGTGATCGTTTTAATTATAATGATACAATTATAAAAAGGAATTAATTGGATTGACTGGATATGACGCTACCGTCTTCTGTGCAAAAATTTTGATTTTTTTCTTACACATAATTATATCTCATACCGTTATTGGAACAAAATATTGATCATGATATGCATTCCCCAGTGATGGATTTAATTTTTTCTAAAAGGGCATTAACTTTCTATGTTGACATTTTTTTTAGGAAAAGGAAAAATCACTTGTTCATACGATCATTCTGTGTGGACTTACTTGAAAATCGAACAATGTGCAGGGAGCAAAATGACTGTTTTATTTCAATGTAATCAAATACCAGTACTATCTTCTACCTTTACTATGACCTGTGTAGATCAAAGTCTTGAATGGAATGGATCACCTCCCTCGTCCTGCTCGTGTAAGTTACCGAATTTTTCAGGGATAATAGAGAGTGAAAATATCTTTCAAATGTAGTTTTCAGTTTTTCAAAATTCACTTCCAGTCGTCAGATATGTCCGATTTCCGCTTTTTTCAAAATAATTTTGTCTGAGTCATATCTCAGAAACGGTAAGAGATTAAGACACCAAATTTATATGAGTAATAGATTTTGATAAGTAGGCGAGCTCATTTGGGTTAAGATCGTCCGCCGTCGCTTCCGGTCGTCACAGGAAGTGATCTAAGAAATCGAAAATTACAACTT